AATTTGTGAGACGTATGACAATTATTGGGCAAACCGTTATGGCGACATGGCGATAACTCGTACATTTGCGCCTTCTAATTTTTACGAAGGATTTTTTCAACAACGGCAGTAGATATAAGAATTTTAGAGTGAGGTTTTTATTCATCACAAAAAATTGATTTAAAATAACTTAAAATAACAATCACTCACTTTTCAATCTAAAAAAATATAAATTTGTAAAGTCAAGTGTTTTTGTTAACGTGACGATTACTGGGCCAACTATCTTATATGTTTTTATAATATGATTTTTATAATTATTTTTCAATAATTTTATTCTCATTATATAATTATATTATCGAGGCTGTTCAAGAAACGCGTTCTTTTCTAAATATTTGTGCGTTATGATTAATGGTTATTCGAAAAATGGTAATATAAATTTAAAAGTAAATTAAATTTAATTCATAAAATATTAAAAATTGAATTAAATTTAAACTAGATTTAATCTAAACTTAATAATTTATAAGTAACTTAAACTAAAAATATAATTCTCAAATAACTTAATAATTTATAATAATCTTATTTAAGACCATATATAGTATGTAAGAATACAATCGATAAATTAGAAATTAAATGCCTATTCCGAAACTCATCGAAAAAAAGTGTTACAACTTTAAGGGTCCGACTGTACATAAGACTTTACATAAGGTGTCATTGGTTTGACCTTAAATAGTTGTTTGAAAGTTATATGCAGGTCACGTTGATTTTAAATGGTACATCCTATTTTTTATTTCATATTCTTATAAAGCTTATTTCGAGAGCTTTTCAAATTACTATAATCAAATATTTTTTCCGGCATTAGCATTATGCAATGTGTCCGATCGATTGCTAAAACTTTTTGAATGTTGTTCAGGATCATGTCCTGGATGACATTTGTCAAGATCAAGGCCATTGGAAGTTATTGTTTTACTAAGATATTTTATATTTTATCAAAATGTTAAAACTTTTAAGTCTTATAACTTTTTAAGTCTTAAGAAGTTCTTAATGAAAAAATATTTAATTATAGTGTTTCTTGAAATAAGCTATAAGAATATGCAAAAAATAGGGTGTACCGTTTGAAAAAAATCAACGTGATCTTTATAACTCTCAAACGATTATTTAAGGTCAAATCAATAATACCATCTTATGTATACCTCGAAATCGTACAACTTTTATTTGAAACGTTTTTTTTTTAAATATTCTATTTTTGAGATAAAAGGGATGTATGGCTAGTGTCAGACACCCGGTATATACTATACATATACTATATACATATACATATACATATATATATTTATATATACATGCATATATACCATATTTATAGTCATTCGAACTGCGCGTCGAATTGGTTTTCCAAAAACCAATTTTGCTTATAAACGCAAATCAATTTTCCTTATATAGTAAACGCAATTAAACTACTGTAATAATATCACAAATTAAATTAAATCGACAAGCAATTTTTAATAATTCGATATTCAATCGGACATCATATTAGAAAGACGTTAATGTACTGAAAAATTATAAATAAATTTATTGCAAAAAATATTATCTCGGCCGAGAGTCGAACCGATATCTTGTATTCTATACGAGCATCCTGAGTCTAGACTACCGACGGTAGTGAAATACAACTTGAATGATTCAATTTCCTACTTCTGACAGATGTCGGTAGCTACTCTGATAGTATGGAAAGTTTCAGTTGTGTTGCAGGGATCTTCCAATGTGTCTTAATTATGTATCATCATTTGTAATTCTGAGACTATCTTCTTTGAAATATTACAATTGCAATATTTCTGCAATTACCTTGATTAAAACCGTATGTTTGAAATATTTCTGTAATGTATAGTTCTTTTAATGTATAGTTCTTGCAAATGCAAAGTTTTTGAAAGATTTCTGAAACCCCGAATTAATAAATGCAGATATAGCATTATTCGATCATGCTCACATTCACGAACGCACGCAAGCACGCATGCACGCACGCACGCATGTACGTATGCAACTTAGATAAGAATCTTAATCTTCTAGTAAATAAGATGCTTAGTGAGA